ATAAGAACCCGCAGACTTTCACTGTGGAACCTCATAGATTGCTTGACTTCTGTATCAGAAAGCGTGACCATGTCTCCAGGAAGCTGCTAAAGGCTCTAGCTGCCTTGTACCTTCTTTTGTTGTTTGTTTCCTCTTTCTATAACTGAAGACATCACTTTTGAATTTCTCTTCAAGTCTATTTTTAATTTCTTGTGTTGATGAGTCCACGAATCTGCAAAAGGGACTCTGTCTCCCACAGTGATACCAGAACTCTGTCTTTCCCAATTATTCATGTCTAAGGAAGGTCCTGGAACTACTGAACAAGAATAGCACCACAAGGATGGATATAGTCTAATGCTGGGATGCTGTATTCACACAGAGAACTGGTGAGAATGCATAACCTAATACAAGCTGACATCCATGGACCAGCTCACTTAGAAAGTTGCACAGTGTATGGGGATGTCTAAGTGAGGGATGCACTAACTTTTATCTCCTGAAAAATTCGGAAGAATTGTATTTATTTTCCACAGCTGTCAAGATAAATCTGCCCATATTCTTATTCTTGGTCAGTTTTCCAACACTTGATAACACATCTCGTCCTTTCAGAACAGAAGGATGGAATGCAGGGCTTACATACTGGGAAACTTTCATCTCGAAAAAGGAAGAATAATTTTCATTTATTCACTGAAACATTAAGTGTCAGGTACCAGTATAAGTGATGAGGATGTTGTCAGGAATAAGACAGAGTCGGGCCCTGCCTTTATAAAATTTATATTTCAGTAAAGAAACAGAATCAGATAAACAGCCTTCTTTCAGGGTGTGATTATTACTCCTCACATGAAACACTAGAAACGGCAGCATGGGGTTCATCTGAGATGGAGAGACTATTTAGAATAGTAAGAAGGCTCAGGAAGTGATTAAGAGATATAAGAACTCTAGCTCAATAATAACCAAGGGAGAATGACAAATGGAATGAGAGGGTCTTCATTAAAAAGAGTTCAGAATTGGTTATAATTCAACAGAACATCGAATTTTAGACAAAGAGATGTTGTGAATCTATTTCCATGCTTCAGTGACAGTTATATGGAGACAAAGGTAAGAGAAAATCAGACGAATGAACAAACAAGTTAGAATGAAGATCGTGGTTGCCAACATACATGCAGAAAGATGATTGCAAATTGGAAGGAATGAGGACATCTTGAGTGTATGTATAATAATTTCTTTAAGAGAAAAATATGCAAAATAAAGAACACATTATCATTCAAACAAGAGTGTTGTGTTCTGCATATCTTTATTATTCTTTATTAGAACAATTGTTCTTTGCTGTTAGAAATAAATATTTAAAAGCATGTTCTACTTATAATAATGTTGCTAATGGAAGGGTGCAGTGGAGCCCATTGGAGCAAGCATAAGCAAGAACCTTTCGGTGAGTCTTTGGCATTCAGGATTCAAGCAACCATCGGATGGCAGCCGCTGCCCAACCCTCATTTGTTGCCAGGTAGGAACTCAGACTTTGTGCTGCCAGGGAATGCAATAGTCTGGTATTTTGCTTGGATTTTTCCAAACATGAAATATCCTAATTTTCAAGAGTTGGCAATGAATTCAAATTAATTAAACAAAGTAAAATGAAACACTATGAGACTATAAATGGGGCGGGGAGGAAACAGAGAAAGGAGGAGGAAGAAAAGGCATCAGATGCTTGTACCCTGTATTCATCCTACAATTTACCATTCTGCCGCCTCTGCTGTGGGATCCCCATCACAATCTCTTTTTGTGATAAATCTAGGTGATATTGTAGTGCTTATGTTGTGGAAAACTTTATTCAAATCCAGAAGGTGAAAATATTCCAGAGCTCTTTAAGAAAAGGAGGAGGAGGAGGAGGAGGAGGAGGAGGAGAAGGAGAAGGAAAAGAAGAAGAAAGAAGAAAGAAAAAAGAAGAATTACCCAGAATCCTGGAGTCCCCTTGGAAAAGACAGTTGGTTGAGGCAAGGGCGATTCTTAACCTCTTGTATATTTTACAGTCTGTAGATTCTACACTATGGGAACCTCAGAAAAGAAGCCAGACTTTTCCATTGACTCCAAGGCTGCATCAGCAAATGTCAGACCCGGCAGGCCCTTTGTATTATAGGCTAAGGATCCAAACAGCTGTAAACAGTTTATGCCAAGATCCCTTCAAGTGTGACAAACACAGAGCATCCTCAGTGCCTCGGGAGACCAGTTAGAACTAGGAGAGATCACAGAAGACAGTCTCTGAATACTGCGGCCACACCTCTCAGGGCTGATGGCCATGGTGGCTTTTTTCTATTCTCTCCTCATCAGAAATGATGCTGGGGTTAGAAGTTACTTATACATGGTTTTGCTTTAATTTTTAGCAAAGGGATTTTGGAACCGTGTATTTCCTAAAGAGAAACGATTGCCTAGATATTGAATTCATACATCTTCTTATGTTTGCCATCTCATGTGACTTTCTTGTACAGCTTTCCTCTAGGTTAATCCAACCCAGTGAAGAAATTCATGAACATATTCACTTATCAGAACCTGCATTACTAAAACCTGAAAGATCTCAGTGTTGTGTTAGCAGTTATTTGTGGAATCTTTCAAGAGAGTATTGCTTCCCATAACTTACACAGACTTTCTGGCTAGAAAATTAGTCTTTCTTAAAGGAATTCCATTTTTAAGTCCTGTTTTTATTATTTAAAATTTTGGAGTATTCTTGAACTCTTGTATCAGATTTATTTGGTAACATGTCATAATAAATTACTAGTGACATGGGGTTGGGAAAGCCAAAGTCATACAAGAAGGACAATGGCCATATAGTGTTCTTATGACTATGTGTGTGACTGCCAGCTGCTATGATACCTTAGAAACAATCAGAATAAATGGACATTCTCATCTAACTGGAGACTTTTAGTGTTCTTTACATAAGGCAGCAGTGGGGGAATGGGTAATAAGATTACTGATGCTGAAATAATGCCCAGTGGAAAACAAAGTACATATAAACCAAGTGAATTTGTTCCATAAGGAGACATTCTCAAATTTGGCTAGTACTCATAGCATAATAAGATTCCTTAAAACATATGACCACAGTTTTTAAAACACAATAATCAAAGTCTTCAAATTAAATAACTATATTACTACTGAAATAGTGTGATTTATTGCCTGTAATTCCATTTATTTGACATGTATCACCAAACACTTCTTTTCAAGAGTAGTCCTCCATAAAGGATAAAGCTACAGAAAAAAAATACTATTTCTCAGTTGTATATAAAACTCACATTAGCCTGGTGGTGTGATTTAGCACATGCATTTAATCCCAGAATCAGGCAGATCTCTGAATGTGAGGACATCCTGGTCTACAGAGCAAGATCCAGGATAATCAGGGCTACAAAGAAAAACCTTGTCTAGAAAACAACAAAGATAAGTAAAGCAACATCTAAAATCCCAATTGCTTTGAGTAACTTTGTAATTGATAATAATGATGATAAAATCCACTAAAATTTTAGCCAGGTGGTGGTGGTGCACATCTTTAATCCCAGCACTCAGGAGACAAGCAGGCAGGCCTCTGAGTTTGAGGCCAGCCTTGTCTACAAGGCTGTTGTAGGACAGCCAGGGATAAATAGAGAAACTCTGTGTCAAAAAACCTAGAAAACAAAACAAAAATAAATCAAAAACCCTCACACTGGTTAGGAATTATTGTCATTGTACTTTTTAATATAGTCATCAATCAAATTTATGTTTATGTTGAGAAACTGTGAATAAACTCAGAATATAATTAGAAATGAAAACACTTGGATAAGTTAGAGAAAATTAACAAAACCCCAGCAAGGACAAGAGTTTATAAACATTAAATTTCTTTATATAACTGTATAGGCAAGTTCCTTACTCTATTGTTAAAAATCTAAAGCCTTGACAATCTTTTGTTCCATGTTGAAATAACAAGAGATATCAAGCCAGAAATAAATCACCTTCTTGATCAGAGAGAAATCTTGAACAAAACTGGGCCCCATTCTGCTGTTTGCCTTGCCAACTATACTATTCTGTATTGTAAACAAGGCTATAGGACTGTTGGATTGATAATCTCCCAACCCCAGGCCCAGAAGATAGACTCTTAGTAGCAGTATTTGTGGATCTTAAGAATCTCGTTCCCGTAGGATCCACAGGTGAGCACACAGTCCTGAACAAGAAAAGCAAGATACAAGGGCACTCTCCTTGGGTGAAGCATCTGCCAGCTTCTTCATGCTTTGGATTTGTAATAAAAAGAAAATTAGAAACCAACAAAGAACAAATATTGATTGAGTCAATGCATGCCAGAGTCTGATTTTTAGAACTAATGAAGAGCAGATACAGTGTGGAGAGAGGGACATCTATAGAAGAAATCGTTATACTTTCGTTCATATGGATTACTCCGAGACATTCTTCTGTGATGTTTTCATCGGTAAGCATTTTATTGGTCTTTGTGAGGTTAAGGTGACCTTTCAGGTTTGATACGGTTAACGGTTAGGTACTCATCTCCTTCATTTACCAGTTGTGTTGTTAACCTTTCTATTCTTCAGCATAGCACCCCTATTGATAAAAGAAGATACTCATAGTGGAGGATCCTAGGACTATTGCTTTCATAAAGGAAAATCTGAATGGAAAATGTACTTCTTTGATCAGTAGCTTTTAGTTCCTTTGCTATATAATTTTAATGAAAATTTGACGGAACACTGATCTATATTCAATAGCTCTAAGTGTGGGTAAGTACCTACAGAGAATCTTTTCCATGTATTTTCCATGTATGTGTGTGTGTGTGTGTGTGTGTGTGTGTGTGTTATATGTGATATAGGTAATATATATCAATAATTAAATTATATATGTGATTTATTTATTAATTAAATGAGTTAATTAAAAATAAAATGATATATTATCCAAAATACAATTTAAGTGAAAACTAAGAAAATTAAAAACACTAAGTAAACTTTGTCATCACCATTTTTAATCAATAGATTTCATTTTGATTATAACTAGAAAAAGAAAGTAAAACTCAGTTGTCTTTTTTCAACGCCTACCCTATAAAAACAGAAGTTATCACCAATGTGAGGAGGGAAGATGGCATGCTTTGGAAACATAAATCAGCATAAAAATGATCTTTTTCTGTGCTTTGAATGGATCATTATGAGAAAATCAAATTTTATATGGTAGGCAGATCCACATTTGTTACCCATTCATGCATAGACTTTTAGACACATAACAAACTAATAATTTAACATCAACATCTCATTTAAAAACTGTAATTGTTCTCTTTAGTGGTTCAGTTCCTAAGTCCAATATTTATTCCAATCTTTCCAATGGCATTAAATTTCTGCCTCATTTGTATTAAGGTTTCATACTTTCATCAGGCCTTTGATAATAAAATGACATATTTATTGCCTAACTTTTATTAGCTTTGGCTTAAAGATTCTTCATAGAACTTCACTTAGGAAACTCAATTCTCTTTATAACAGAAAAAAGAAACATTGCTTGCAATACGATTGTGAATGTAGATGGAAATTTCGTCGTGAAAGTGCGGCGGAAAGAACCGTTTGAAAGATTAGCCTCTTTAAGCATGAACAGTAACTTTTAGCAATTTTCACACCATCTTGATTACTGAGAGATACTGACATTTTAAAATAGTTACATTTTTTATTTACATATAATATGTTAAGCCACTTTTCCTATTCAGGAGAATACACAAATTTGAAGTGAGCCTGATCTGTCTTCTCTCTTCTTACGATTTAGATCTTAAGTGGCCACCAGGAGTCGATGTGTTAAAGGCTTGCTAAGAACAATGATGGGGTCCAGCAAGAGGTGTTCAAGATCATTAAAAATGCTCTTAGGAAGAGATTATGTAACTCTAGCTCCTTTTTGCTTCATGGCCAGAAAATGTTTAAATTATAATTATCAATTGCGGAGGGGAGCCTGGGAACAACTTTATAGGGTTGTTTCTTTCCTTCCACATTTACATGGGGGTGCCTGCAGGGATCAAACTTCAGTGACCACACTTGTGTGGCAGTCGCCTTTCTCCACTGACCATCTGTCTCACTTCTGTTTGTACCCGTGAGGAGCTTTGCCCCATTACATGCTCTCTGCCATCGCACTCCCCCTGGCTAGGGAAAGGAATGATTTGGAACTGGCACAGGAGAAAAGAATGCGGAAGACCTTGACCTCGAAGTCTAGAAAAGTCTTGGGATGGAAAGAGAATTTGGTGAGTACTTCTTGTGGGAGTTTGGAAGAGCAGACAGATAATATAGTACAGGTGTCGAAGGCTTGTTTCGTGGAGTTTCAGAGCAGAACAAGGATGCTTATTGAGAACTGTGCTGGAGGGCATTACTGTACATTCTCACATGGGCTTGCTTCATTCTGGCCATGTCCTGTAGCACTTTAGTTGAATGGCATTTAAAAGAAATGGAATCCATTTGTTGGAGGAAATTCAAGCTATCACAGCATTCAGGTTTCAGTCTGACACAAGGTCTCTGACGTTCTCCAGGACTACTAGTGAAAGACAACAGCTGATGGAGAGGAGAGAGATGGAAACGGTACAGTCTTCAGAAGACAGGAATGTGAACAAGCTTAAAGCTGCTGACAAGGCATTCTTGGCGTAGGAGACTGTAGGTTCTAAAAGGATCAGGATCGTTAAAGAAAACCTACTGTTCAATGGGACAATAGAAAAGGTGTCCCGAGAATAAGACTCGACCTATCAAGAGTTACAATTTGTGAAAATGCAAATTCATTTGACAGGAACCTACACTGAAAAAAAAAATTTCACTGAAGGGTTTTTCTAGTTTTTAGAAATTCCAAAGGCTTAGAAAAGTTAAAAAGCAAAACAACAACATTATCAAAATCCTCAACCATATAAGTCCAAGACAACACTATCGCCGGGTCGAAGGGGCCAGACTACATCTTGAGCTTGCTGAAGAACAGGACGGCATGCTCTACACGATGTTCATTTTACATGCATACAAAATGGAAGAGCGCAAGGACGATGAAGATTTAACCAAGGTTCCAGAAAGCTGCTGAAGCCAGGCAACGTGAGGCAAGGACAGATTCCTTCGAAGGAACCTGAGAGGCCATTGCCTTGAGCTGGGGAAGCCTAAATTGCAGTGGAGATTCCACATGGTGAAGATGGCGGGACAGTGAGGTACGAGCTGAAAACACCACAAGGGGGAAGTGGCGCTGCTCTAGAAGTAGGCACAGTGTGCTCCAGAGAGCAGAACTGCAGAGTCACAGCTCCCCAAGCTCCTGAGGTGAGGGCCACCATCGAAGTCTCAGATGACCAACATAGAGCTGTGGGGTTTGGTGTTTGTCTTACTGGGGTTTTCTTCTTGCTTTGCTCCAGTCTTAAGTTGGAATGTCCCCATTCCTTCATTTTGGGTTGGGAATATTTATCCTATGTCATGTATAGAAATTATATAACATTTTTCTTTGCTACGGGCTTACTGTTGAGAGTTTTTCTGAGACTCGGACAAGATTATGAACTTAAATCCTGAATAATTTCGAAATTAATGAGATGTTGGAGGCTTTTAGAGATGTGTAAAATGTATTTTATTTTTGCTTTATGAGATGAACATGCTAATTTAGGGAACAGAAAGGATATGTTAGTGATGTATTTGGACTTCAGCTCGACAAGAAGTGGATTTAAGATCAGTTCTGTATACTTGATTAACCCTATCACCTAGGATATCTCTGCACATGCATGAGGGTGCTTTCAGAGACATCTGAGTGAGGTGGAAAGACCTACCCCATACCTTACATGGCAAGAATGAAGATACTCGAGTGAGATATTTGGGCTTCTCAAACTATCAAACTATTAAAATAATAGACCTCAAGAAATTGGAATTTACCTAAGAAACTCATGCAGAAGAATGGTTTGTCTTTCGGAGAGAAATTTTGCAGCTGTACCAACTTCTCAGAACATCTGGCAGAGAGTCTGCAGCAAGGACCATGACGATGGGTGGGCCTGCACCTTGACCAGCCCTTAGTGATGTTCAGTTATACGCATGCCTTCTGGATATGACTCCCTGAACTCCCGGCAGCTATAGGTGCCTGCACAAGGCCTGAGCAAGACCAAGTCAGTCAACATTCCAGCCTGGGGAGCTGTTTCCCTAGCTTCTACCCCTAACTCAGGAGGGATCAACAGCGGGTGGCCTCCAGGGAAGGGAGAGTTAGTTCCCTTTAAGAGTGAGGGCCCAGGTATGTTGACCCTGCTCCAAGATGGTGTCAAACCCATGAGTACACAGGTAACACCAACATATCCCATAGCTTGTATTAAAGTAAAAAGGATAGGAAGTTAGGAGGTGAGGAAGTGAGGTAGATCTAGGATAACACAGGGAGATGACCGAGGCAAATAAGATAAAAATAAATTCTATGAATTTTTCAGAGAGTTCATAAAAATAATATTTTTTTAAACAGAGCACATAAATTTGGGAAGGGATGGGATGGGAGATGGTGAAAACTGGAAGTGTTGTGGGAAAGTACAAAATGTCTGGGGTGAGGAGGCATTGTACCTCTGCTACAGGGGAACTCCATCTAAATTCCTCTTATACATGGATATGCACATATTTTAGGAAGCTTCTGAAGTACTGCACTTCCTTATGACATTTCCACAGTCTTTAGTGTTGGTTAATCACATAGATCCCACCTCCCACTGCTATCCCATGGCCCTCCCCACCTAACTCCTCCCCCCTGCTTATATTATTAATTCCTAAGAACTCTAGATTATTATCCGTTTACGTGATCTTCACATCTCTTCAGGCTATGAATGTTTATCAATCTTTTTTCCCCATTGCATAGCCTCCACTTCAACCAGTACCTTACATTTTTCCTTTTGCCTTTTGTTTTCCTCTGTGCTCATGACGTTGTTTCTCCCTCACCTTCAGTAAACTTGAGAAGCTGCTCATAGTAAAAGGCAGAGACCAACATTGGCAAGAAGATTTGACCATGAGGTGTAATTAATAACCATTGTCTTCACAATAGAGTATCTTGATGATATTTTGTTGGTATGCTTCCAATTCCAGGATTTGATACTCATTTTGAGGGACAACCATTTTTCCAGAACAACCTTTTAGAGCCCTGTTGGATTTTCCTTGGGAAGCAATAAACCTCAAGTTTTTGTTATCATGGATTGGCACAATCTTCCAGCTGCATGGAGAAGAGGCTGAGCATCTCATTACTTTTCAGATATCCTTCTGCCAATAATTTCCACGTTCAAGCTACTAATTCCACACAGTCTAGCATTCTATGAAGCTAACGAGGCTATAAACTTCATTATTTCTGCGGCTGGCTTGAGATTTAGCATTCTCAGGCTGTCTAAATCATTACCACCTCATGAGCTGCTCAACAGCTTTAAGAATCTTGTGGTAATTTTTTCTCCTCTGTCTTCTCTTCTTTGGGGGTCTATTATTTAATGCAAATTCACTTTCTCATCCTTTTTGGTGGAGCTGGGGACAAGATAAATGTGAGTAGGTGTTCATTCATCTTCTTTTAGCTAAAAGTAGTAATGTCATTCTTTGAGTTTGTCAGTCTGTCTGGATCCACTACAGATGGAGTCCCTAATCCTCTGCTGCTCAGAGAAGCTTCATTTAAAAAAAAATGGAAATTTTAATAGAGTTTTAAAATTACCCACATAATTTCTGCTTATTCTAATCATCTGATTTCCTAAACTATTTCAGTCTTTAACCAGAGAAGATCAACCTTAGCACTTAAGATTTGTAGATCGAAGACACTAGGCACCGATGTGAATTTAAAGACAGAGAGGCTTGCTCATCAGTAACTTACTACCCTGTTCTGCACGGACCATTTATTTTTCTGTTTAATTTTTTGTTTTATATAAACAAAGCAAAGGCTAAAGAGTGGGGGAAGAAAAAATCAATTAAAAGCAAAGAAATGAACAGATTCCTGGTAGCAGTTCAATGTTTCCTTCACTCCATGAATTATCTTTATATCCTCCACAACTTTGTGTATCAATAATGAATTACCAGTTTCCCCCCAAATCAGTTAAATTGAATTTCTGTCTCATTACTGAAACCACTCTGATTAATTCCACAAACTACTAGTAGTTTTCTGGTACTAAGAACGAGGGGATGATTTTCATCAGCATGTTTAAAATGAATATTTTAATTGCCTAGGAAATTATAAGGACATTTATATCTACCTTGGCATTTCTCTCCGATGAAGCAAAATGTTATGGTTTGGACACAAACACCATTTCCAAAGGTTCATGTAATAATGTTTTGGTCTCAAAGTGATGAGTCCAATCATTCAGAGGGGATTGGCCTGGTGCCTTCACAGGTTCAGGATAACATAGCATGATGAGGACCTAGGAAAAACTAGAACTTGAAGCCTCGGTGAACAAAGTCAAGGTTAGTGGCCCTGTGTCCTAGTGACACCATGTCCTAGTGACTACGTCTTATCCTCATCTCCTATCTGCCCTTGTCTCTCTCTGAGTCCTTGCCAATATGAATTAATTAGACTCTGACCACACACTTCTACCACTCAAGGAAGCAGACTCACCCAAGGCTCAAGGAAGAGGATCTAGCTAGGCTTAGACTGAAACTTCTGAAAATATCAGCCAAACTAAACTTTCCTTTCGAAGAATATTTTGTCAGAGTCACAAAACAAAAACAACAGCAACAACAAAAAACAGTTTAATGCAGTCCCTGAATAAACCAAATAATTACTGGGCGCTTCGGTGGAATGTACCTGCATTTAAAGACTCCAATTTTAATTGCTGTTTTCTTATTCAAATTCCCATGAACTAAAGTTAGGGAATACAATCTATTGAGACTAAAATTTTCTAGAACTCATTTTTTAAGATCATGATGTCTATTTCTTATTATTTTTCTAATAGGTATTAAAATAATTAGTCAGGAAATAATTAAATTCAGAATTAACAACTCAACCAGCAGTCTTAATCATCATAGTATGCTTGAAATCTGGGTTTCTATAAAGTGTGTGTGATGCTTTCCAAATATGTCATTTTATTAGAAATTTTATGCAATTTTGAGATTTATAAAATCCTATACCTTTAACCTAATATTTATTTGATAAAATGAACATGGTCATACAATGGTAAAATATGTATCTACTTAGGCATCAGTGGACAGAGTATTAAAAGCTATTATAAATAATTGTCCTGCACTCTCTTGTTTTCAGATTTCTAGAGCTAATAGCTCAAATACTAGTATCTGAATGTCTGCAGCATCAGTAACATGAACAATGCCTTTCGTGGTGCTGTCTCACCATTTATGTCTGCACCGTTAGCTTTGCAGCACTCAAAATATAGACTGCAACTTGGTACTTCTTAATGTGTTTCTCTTTCCTCTTCCTAGGTTCCTGGGCCTTATGAAAATCTTTCTGTTTGCAAATAGATTCAAGATTCCTAAAGCATCAATACTGACCACTCACAACAAATTTTGACACTGACATTTTTCTCATCTGGAGCAGGAACCTGTGCAGGAAGATCAAATTTTCAGTGAAAACAAAACAGTAAGCATAAATATATTACCAACTCAGTCCATCCCTAATGGTAGGGAAATACCGTAGCGCCTCCAAGTTAGATGAGAGCCCCCTGTGTTCGCCTGGGAAAGTTGTAGAATCGCCTAGCTATCAAACATATTGTTTAAGCCGTTACCACCATGGCTTCATCTACCTTCTAACATATACTACATCTTTCATCTCATCTCTGTCCATGCTCTAGGCCCAAGTGTGCAATAGCTCAGAAAAGAGCTCTTATACACATAAGCACGGGACAATGGTTCCTTCTTTATTTATTTCTTAAAATTTATTTTACATACAATCACAATTTCCCCTCTCTTCTCCTCCTGTTCCCTCCCCCTGCTTCCTTTCTAATCCCCCCATCCACTACTCAGAAAGAGTAAGGCCTCCCATGGGAGTCAACAAAGCCTGGCATTTCAAGTTGAGGCAGGACAAAGATCCTTCCCACTGCGTCAAGGCTGTGAACCTCTGCACCTGCTTCCTTCCGTTACTGGGTGAAAGTTCTATGATGGCAGGGTAGTCACCAATCTTACTACAGGGGAAGACCAGTTCAGGCACCCTCTCCTCTATTGCTAGGAGTCTTAGCTGGGTTCATCCTTGTGGATTCCTGGGAGCTTCCCTGGCACCAGGTTTTCCGAAAACCCATTATGGCCCCCTCTATCATGATATCTCTTTCATTGCTCTCCCTCTCGATCCCTGCTCCAACTTAACCTTTTGAATCCCTCATATTCCCATCACCCATCTTCTCCCCTCTACAACCCCCAATGCCAGTTAATCAAGGAGAAAATGGCTAGTTTTATGTCATATAAATAAATGTTTTTATTCAAAGTCACATACCCTGCAGTACTCTCATTCTTACCCCCATTAGATTACGTTATTGATCTCTTAAATAGATGTTTTCTGTGTATTGTTCTTATCCACTCCTGTGGTTGCCTCACAACATCTCTGCCAGAAAACTAAATGAGTGTTTTTTTAGATGGTATGAAGGCCAGTCTTCAGTTTCACAAATGGATCTCTAAAGACGTCCAGAGAATTTGGAAATCTATTCATGATTCAACTCCAGGGTCCCAAGAGTAGTCAACAAATGGTCTTTAATAGATGTATCTTGTCACTGACGCTTTAGCTTCCAGCGGAGGGAACAGAGATGAATGCTCAGCGGTCTATCCAATGAGGTCTCTGCTGCTTAAACACTATTTAACACAGGTTTTTTTATTTTTTTTTAAAAAAACAGTCATTGCTTTAAGAAGGTACATGGTTTTTGTTGTTGTTTCACGTTACATTGGTAAAAAAGAAATCACCTTTCTATCTCTGAAAGTATAAAAATTAATAAAAACATACCCAGTGCTATCATTTGCCATTAAGGCAATTTGAAGAATGTATATATACAGAAAAATGCATCCTTTCCACATGGTTTAAGTTACTGGCAAAATGAAGCTAAACAAGTGTTTAAAAACACAATTGAGTGAGTGCCTTTAGGTTGGTTATTTATAGCTGTTCACAACTATCAATTTTTACTTTAAAATTGTTGAAGCAATTATGAACAGAAGGTGAATGCTCACCTTGAGAACATGACTCCCTAATGATTTGTAGGGTGAAAACTACACACAAAAGTGGTTCCCCTGGATAAAAAGTGCTCAGCGTTTTATTTTATGTAAGAGTCATAATATGATATGGTCCCTAGAAAACTCCCCTATCCTCTTCCTTACACTTTGATGTTTTCCCTGCCTTGGAAAATATGTTATTAAGCAAGAAAATGGAAAAAAATACAGTACTATAAAATGTGGAGGCAGTATCTTCAAGTATTATAGTTATCTGTCTAGTAGGATTCAAAGAGGCAAACCATCAATGACAACTCAACTATTATTTTAAAAGATAAATAATAAAATAATCATAATAATAAATAGATTTTCCATTCATATTTAAAAGTAGTTTAAGTTTATACAAAGAAAAATGTAAGTATCAATAGAAGCTAAGAATCAGAACCAAGCTTTTTGAAAAAAAATCCAAAAACATTAAACTCAGCTGAAGATATCAATATTTAGGAAAACACATTTATTTTTTAAAAAGATTAAGTGTTATTTAATTTACCTCTAACCTATGAATTTAACCTTTGTTTCAATTGTGTCTACTGTATTATCAAGAAAGGTCTAAATTAAAAATAAGAAACAGATAGGATTGCGAAATATAAAATACCTACAAAGTTCCAGTAGTTAAAACAGCACATACTGAAACAAAAATAAGACCACTGGCACGTGTCAGAAAGCATTGAACTTGTTGGAGAATTCAGTACAAGCTACTGAAGAAACACTCATTAGTCAATAAATTGTGTTTTGACGACTGGCTAGCCATTTGGAAACTAATTAAGCTAGATTTTACCTAACTCATTACCCTAAAATAGATTCCAGATGGATAAAATATTAAATTTAAACCATAAAAGTAGTCTAAAAGGAACTTGGATAACTGTCTTTAATAAACTTACAATAGAAAAGGCTTTGAAAGGTGCCACATAGCTAGAATTCCAAGCGGGGAAGCCTGATCAGTCTAACCACACAGAAATGAAAGCTTATCCTTCAAAGCTAGTAAAGAGATGGAGTTAAAATGGACAAGACTAATATGGTAGCAGGAGCCTGGCTTTCTGTTAATGAAAAATATAAAGTCTTAAAGATACATCTTTTCTTTTATTCCTAGGAACTCAGTAGCAAATGGACAAAGCACTCCAAGTTCCTGGCATCAGAAGAAAAAAATATTATATAAGCCTGTGAGAAGACAAGCATAGTTTTACAACTACAAAATTAAAGAGAACAATAAATTTTTCTGTAAACATATAAGCAAAGATTAATATTTGGTATAATGAATTGCACACAGGGAAACATGAAAATAGCATTGATGATTTCCTCAGAAAATAAAGAAGTGTGATTTTTTGGAATGCAATTTTTATTTAAGTATAACAGTATAATGTAAATTACATTCAGATGTAATTTTTGTATAACGATATAAATATTAAATATAACAATACAAATTACCATTGAAGTAACAATTGCACTGGAGCAGTCTCAGCAGCAGATAAATTCAGAAGTGCCCAAAAATGCATATACAAGCAGACATTAAATGTATCCAGTTGGCAGAGTTGTAGGCTTGTGAGCAATTACCACATTTCTATGCCCACTAAAACAGTTGCAGCACTGTGCTTCCTGGGTGTCTCTTTCTGTACCTCAGCCTTCTAGCTCTCTGTGTTGGACTTCTCTGTGGTCCAGAAAATAACAGCTTCATAACTTCCCTACTGAGATCTATGAGCATCAGTTAGTACCTATGCCATAAGAATCTTAAAATATTTTGATATCACCTATGTGAAAAAATGCCTATTGTTTCTTTGACAATGAAAATAAATTAAACAATTTGTGTAATTATATCAACACTAGGAAGTATTGGGCATCAATTGAAAAAATAATGAGACGTCAAGGGATGTAGCATAGTGGACAGATTGCTTGCGTAGCATGAACAAAGCCCTGTGTTTGATTCCCCGCACCACATAAACTGGGTGTGGTTATGGATGCCTGGAATCCTGCCATTCTGCAGATAGGAGCAAGACAGATGAGATTTCACAGTTTTCCGCAGTCAAATCTAGAGAGCTCAAGGCTCACCTAAGCTATATGAAACCCTGTCTTCCAAAACTCTGTAATGAAACATAAGGTAAATCTGTGGGCAGCCCTATTAGGCTGTAGAATTTTATGTTTCTTGTGTCTGTGTTTACCTGTGTCTATATACTTAAAGTAAATTTATCTGATAAAATTTTAAATATATCTAGAAAATCTCATAACAAATGAGCTTGACAGAGATAAATCTGTGCAAATAACAAAAGACATTTGTTTTTTTTACTCACACACATCTATATTATTTAATTTTTCTTTTTTATTAAAAATGATCATGTTGTACTTACAAAAGAAAAAACATATAAACATGAAAGTCTTCCTTACATTGATAATAATCTAAAGGCAACTGAACTTTTGCTCCCAAATGTATTTTTGTATGTTTGAGATAAAACACACGTAGCACAAAAGAAGTCAATAATAATACAGATATAAAAATGTTAATATACAAATCTATGATATGGTAATAGAGTTGTTTCTTGTCATATTTCATATAGCTATAAAAAAAGCAGACATAGAAACCAGTATAATTCCAGAGAATTAGTAAGTGTAAATGGCAATTTACAGTGTCTGCCAGTTATAGTTATGAAAATACACATAACTTTAACCTGTGACATGCTCCAAGCTTACTAGTGTAAGTGAGCTTTGTTGGTCATTTTATGGGAAGTTCTAGGTTTGACTGGCTATAAGGAAAGTAAGAATAGAGCCTTTCTCATCTGAGTTTATAGATCTTCTAAATTCAATTCATTGAGAAATATGGATTTGTGCATGCAGAGACCCATACAGGAAAGTGCCCACATATTTTCCAGGTTCGCCTTTAACACAGCCTTAATTTGAAAGTACATGTGGTTACCTAATTTTTCAAACACAAGGCATCTGCCATATTACATTTTCCTTTTGTCTCTCTACTTTCTTGTTCCCGTCATTCTGTGTTGGCAGGATTTTTCCTTTCCACCTTTTTTCTTTTTATACACTAGCATTTCTCTTCCTGCTGCCCTGCTCTCTAATCTCTCCACATTTTCATTGTTCTTAGTCTGGCTTCCTGATAGTCTTCATCTTGACTTAGAGATGGTTGTGACTAACCTCCTCCGTACGAAGATGTCAACTTCTCCAGTGTAAGACATTCCAGTAACAGAGATGGGCTTGCATTGATCCTCTCATGCTACAGCAGGGTCCCCATTATGAGTAATGACTCAAAGGATCAAGGTGACTGGAATTAGTGGAAGCACCAGCCGCTTATAGACTAGATCAAACTTAATGATTCTCTATAAGAACTTTGAATTGACCCTGTACTTAATGTTTTCTAGCTTGAGACTTAAATGCTATCGAAACTTGCCCTCTGTTCTACAATACCTTTACATCAGCTTTTCTTTGCTAATATTGGGGCTGAGCTTGCATGGAGACCCGTGTGTGTGTGTGTGTGTGTGTGTGTGTGTGTGTGTGTGTGTTCGTGTTTGTGATTTTAAAGTTAGCTGTGGCCCATATATATAAATGGTATGTGTATATATGTATACACATATATGTACATGTTCTAAAGTCAAAGTGATTATAAAATAAGAATAACAGTCAGATGCAGTCCATCTGAGTCATATTAGTGCTGAAACACTATACTAGGTCTGAATAATGGTAAAGTTTTTTAATTATAATACAAAACTTCTGGTTGCCAAGATCCTCAACGGTCTTATGCATTTTCTCTTCATTGTGTAGATTTTCCTTGGCTGCTATATGATATGTCTGCATAATTTACTATCTTTTAATAGGACTAATTTCTATTCCAACACCAGGAATACATTTGGGATAAAATGAGTGCTGAGAAAATTCCTACTTCTATATTTCATTTATGATAGCTTTGTTTTCAGAATTTGACATATGTGTTCAGTTGATTTTGGATAGTCATATGTATACATGTAAATATGTATATATTTATGTTTGGGGTATATATGTATTTTGAAGGGGTCACTCATACTACAACAGGATCAATATTCCAACATAAAGAAATATGTTGGAATGTCTTCAAAAGGCAGGAATGAAGTCATCTTCTTGGACTGAAAAATGCAAGAATCAAAAATAATCATTAAATTTTCAAAGTAATTTACTCTAGAAAGATGGTCTGCAAATATATGACTAACGAAATTTGGAAACATTCCAGCAAGGGCTCATGACAATTCACCAATTTAGTCTAGCTAAAAAAATGAGTGACAACACAGAAGGCGATAGCTTAGCGTGGAATGAGTAACACAACCAAGTGAGATTAAATTACTGTGTTTTCCACCATATTCAAGAGTAGGATGTAGGTGCCTCACAGTGAGCATATGTGTGTTGCCTCAATAATGGCTCTCTCTGTTAATCATATTGTCAGAGCAGCAGCCTAGATTCATTGTATTTTCTGTGGAGATATTTTGCTGAGAACAGTGTACAGGGACCAGATGATAGCAGATGAATTTGGTCATTGTTTTTCTTTATTCTTTCTTTCTTTGAAAATAAGATATTCGGATCGTGGTTTTCCATTCCCCAACTCCTCCCAGTTCCTCTCATCTCTTCCATGTACCGAACACCTCCCCTTTTTTCTCTCTTCAGAAAACAGTTTAAAAAAAAAAAAAAACAAAAGCAGAAAGAAAACAGATTTTTTTTTTTTTAGAAAAAAAATCAAACAGCACAAAATACACACACAGAAAATCATAAAAACCACATTAGGTGCCATTTTGTGAAAGGAGACTGCACTTTCGTTTCTCAACCCCCCAGACCCAAATAATCAAACAAAAACTATATTAATTACAACACTGTTTGACCAATGACTCAGGCATATTTCTTGCTAGTTCTTACATTTTAAACTAGCCCATTTCTATTAATCTGTGTATTACCACGAGGCTGTGGCTTACTGGAAAGGTTCTGGGTGTCTTTCTTCTTTGGCAGCTCCATGGTGTCTCCCTAACTCCACCTACTCTCTCTATCTCTATGTGGATTTCTGCCTGGCTTTGCTCTGTTAAGCCATTAGTCAAAACAGCTTTATTCATTAAACAATAGAAGCAATACTGATACAGAAGGACATCCCACATCAAGTGAGTTTCTTGTTTGTGAGTGAATCTTTTATGTGCCTGGTTAACAAGAGATTTGATGATTATTTTCTAACTTTACTTACTATTGGCTAGAATTACTCTGGATTCTCATCCTGGAATGAAAGCATTAGATTTTGTTTATATTTTGCAAAGGTTTCTGTATTATACACATGTTATAGACATGACCTGAAAAGTCATGTGGGTACAGAAATTTTAATTGAATATAATTCTCTTTCAGTATTTGGAAAGCATATTTGCCTGTTGTTCCTAAGAAAGCTGATGCCATTCTGATCCGGGGACCATCAGAGAAAACCTGATTTGCTTGATACTTTTTTTTACTAAAAACTTTTGGATTTTTTCTAGATACTGTATTTTTTTCTGTTGTTTTCCCTAAATATTTTATTTTTCATCTCATTTTATTGGTCAAGAAGCTAAGAGATGGATTAAACAAACTGCAGTCATACAGTTAACTACTGGAAGCAAAATTCAAACAAAACCTGATTCAAGACTGCGTGTGCTTTATAAGCCTTATATCACATTATATCACAGTTAAGGTTAGAAGGGACTTTTATAGCACATTTAATCCAATTACTGTGGTTATACCAGTGACTCATTTTGGATTGTATCCCTCCACCAACTCCTAGGACAACTTCTTCTCTGAATAGTACATTTGTACATAGGAAAGGCATCAAATTTTCATTCTTAGGGAAATACTTCTACCTGTCATTTGTTGACCCTTACAAACTAATGATAATATGAACTAAGATAAATAAAACATTTTTCCAAAACACTGCTATTTCAACTGTTAATTATTCTATGTATTTCAGTAGAATTCACTTTTAAACAGAACATTCTAATTACCAAAAACAATAACTCCATGTTAGTATGTTCCATGTTTATTAATGTCTTAAAATTGGTTTTCAAAACATTGCTAATTACAGCTTGTTTCTTATAGAGTGCTAAACCTATCTATTTCTTTCAGCTGTTTATGTTAAACATGATATTAAATCACTAAAGATATACTAAAAAAAAATCAATGACTCAGAATGGCTGCTACCTGAACATGTAAAGAGGATTACATTTTAACAAGATATCACACAATCCTTTTACAAATAGCAAAGTAGCACAATTAAACTTTGTTATAATTGTGCCTAAATATTATTCTAACTGGTTTTACTAAAGA